CCCGGACCATCGAGAAGAAGACTGGCTAGAAGGGCGCGAACCGGGGCGGCCGACGAGACGGCGGGCAGAGCGTCGGCGACTCTGGAGGACCCGGGGGGGCGTTTTAGTCCGGGTGAGCTCCCATGCGCTCGCAAATGGGAGCGTGGAAAGCTCTGTAGTAGCGAGTTGCAGGCACTTGAGCAAGGGTAGGGGAAATCGTGTGCTTTCTGAGGCTTTCTGCAGGGCTAGCTGTGCGCTGGAAGGAGGCACGTGCGTCCCTCCAGCTACATAGTTTCTTCGGGTGCAAAGGAAAGTGTCGCGGGCTGTCAGAGGACGCTGCCGCACCCCTCGAGGGCAGGGCGCCGGCGTCCGCGCTCCCTCCCGCAGCGCCCGGCTCCCGGGAAGAAGCTGGCACAAGTGCTGGTGTCAGATTTACCTTGAGCCGGAACCGACCTGAAAGCACTCCAGGCTCCCCCAGAGCAGGCCAGGCCTAGAAGAGGTGCTGCCCAGCCCGTTGCTTTGATGAGGAAACAGGCACTAAGAGGAGTTTCCCGGGCCTCAGGGACCTGGCAACAAAGCCGGAGGCTGGAGCCCACATGTCCTTAAACCAGCCCAGCTCTCTTCCAGCGTGGTCACAGGGCTCTGTCCAGGGTGACGGGTGACAGCATCTAAACCTCGCATTTCCCACACAGTCATGACCCCAGCTTGCTAACCTAGCCCCAGGGCAGCAGACAAGAAAGCCCCACTGCCTTTGGAACACTGGCCTTGATCCCCGGGTTAAATAGTCTTCTGGCTAGCTCTGCCTCGAATTACAAATTCAATTAGATTTAGGAACCCAGCATGCTTCGAGGCTTTGAGGAAAAGGAGCACAGGAGACAAACAGACAAGTGCAGGTTACAAAAGCCCCAGCCTTCCAGGGCACACAGTCTAACCAAAGGTTTGGATGAGCAGCCGGACGTGATGATAAGCAAGGAAACAGCCATCACGCCAGAGGCTGCCCTGCCAGCTTGGGTTAGAGATCTGGGACTACTCATCCCTTCTCTGGACACCCAGAGAAGTGTCCAAGCAGACCCCCCACTCCGGCTCTGGTGGAGGCAATCAGGAAAGTCAGGGGCTGGCTGCAGAGTCGGGTGGAGTTAGGCGGGTCTCAGGAGTGGGGGTGCTTGGCTCAGCTTAGAGGGTGCTGAGCGACTGGCGTGGACCTCTCCAGGGCTTTGGGGAGCCCCGGAGGCAGCTGGCAGCCGGAACAAGGACTCAGCCAAAGAGCAGAGAGCAGCAGTGCAGACCAAGCATGAGTCCCCAGGGCCCTCACCAGCTGCAGGCAGGCAATCAGGAGCCCAGCGCTGGAGACCCCACCCCGGCTGTGACATCACGGGGGGGGGTGGAGACGAATAAAAAGGGGGTCCCCCGCCCTTGCTCCGGACTCTTGGCAGGCTGAGTGTCGAGAGCCAGCGGAGGGAGCCTGGGCACTGGGCTGGGGAGCCTGGTGTGAGGGAACGAGTGCCCCAAGCCGCTCTCCAGACTCCCCTCTGGGTGCCCCGAGCCCTGTGGCAGCATGAACTGCATCTCAGACTTCTTCACCTACGAGACCACCAAGTCGGTGGTGGTGAAGAGCTGGACCATCGGGGTCATCAACCGCGCCGTCCAGCTCCTGATCATCTCTTACTTCGTGGGGTGAGTGCGCAGGTGCCCCTCGGGCCCCAGGACCGGCTGCTGCCTGGGGTCCTGCCCCCGCTTCTTCCCCAGTGCTTCTGTCCGGCTTCCCGGGCTTTTCCCTGGCGGGAAGCACTTTCTCCCCGAGAGCTGAGTCCCAAGGACCAGACCGGCCGCCCCCACCCAGGTCCTCGGGAGTTGGAGAGCAGATTCTTGGACCTGGAAGTGGGTCCTTGCCCTGTGCTGCCCTGCCAGCAGCAGTCCCAGGTGGTCTGTGCCCACCAGCAGAGGAGCAGCGGCCCTCCCACAGTCTCCCACTGCCCTCTGTCAACTCTGGGTGCTTTCAGGAGGACCAGGGGGACCGGGCAGAGGGGAAAGGAGGCTCCAATACCAGGGAGACACAACGAGGCTGATTCGGGTGGACAGAGAGCAGGTGGGGGAAGGGCTTAGCATGAGGCATCCTCAGAACGACCAAGCACTCGATCTGGAAGGGAGGACAAAGGGTCCGACTGCTCCCTGAGGTCAGGAGAGAGAGGTGTGGTAACGCTCCAGGGGTGGCTCTCCCCAGAACCCTGAGATGCCGCGTGATCCCCTCCCCTCCCTGCCTCTGTGTCCCGAATCCCATCCTGGCAGTGGCTTGAGGGCCAGCAGGTCCCAGCACCCCGCCCACCCAGCACACACCCTGCGCACACACAAAGGCGGGAGCAGCGGGTGTCGGGCAGGTGCACACACTGGCCTCTGGGTCATTGCCACACCCCGGTGTGCACCAGGAAATGCGGCGTGACCTGCGGTGGCTCCTTCCCAGCCATCCTTTGAGACAATGGGTCTGTGTGTGCGAGATGGCAGCACCGACCGGCCGGGCATTGCGCGGGGCCCAGCAGTGACACCCCATGCGGTGCGTTTGCATGCACCGTGTGAGCTGGCTCGTGCACCCCGAGGTCACACAGGAGCGTGCAAGGTGGGCACTGCGGGCCGGGTTGGGGGTCAGCCGCTCTCCTTCCGCACTTAGCGAGGCTTTGATAGCCAGGCCTCGCGTGCGGCTGGAGCCTGGGGTGGGAATCGGGGCTGGGATGCTGCCCCCCACGTCGGCTTGGTGAGGAGGGGCTGGCGTGCCCCATGC